ACATTTACACTGCCACCACCTTCCTGACCAACCATACCTGAATGTGTCAATCACCGATCCCCCAGGAAGGCAAGGAATCAGTAACCATGGGACTCCGGGTAATATGAATTTCAGTAATAAATTTTGAAAAATTAGTTTGTGTAATTTACGTTGCTAATTTAAATCCAAGGGCAACTTTAGTATCTATTAATAGTAGGAGAACATGGGGGCTTCCAATACAACACCTAAAAAATGACAAAGTAACAAAATATATCAAAGGGGAGTTAAGTGAATACCACTGGACAAGCTATACAATTTATTTTATGAAACATGTAAATTAAGACAATTTGAACACATCGCCTATTCTATTTCCCTAGAGGCACAATGGATATTTACCGAGGACACAAAACTCAGCGTGCTACTATACCTTAAATACCCGCACTACGGCCACGATGTTGATGGCTGCCCTCAGCCCCGAGGATACGGGCTTGCGGCCCTGTTCCTAATACACTCCCAAGACACACTGATGAAATTTAGTTTTTCCAACTTATTGCTGGGAAGGATTACTCCTCCCACCATCTAATACAGCCCCAGGGCTCCACCCATTATTTTGGCACTGGCCAACCATTTAACACGTAGGCCTGAGGTCTGGCTCTCTAGGGCCAATAAGGACTTGGCCCTTATCTCAGGCCAATCACCTTCACTGATCTGTCGTGGAAAGCTACATGAATTCCTGAAGATTGAGTCAGCTCTCCCCAGCTAAAGAGAAGGGGGACAAGGCGCGTCTATGGAGCCCAGGCACCTGCGAGCAATGTTTACAAAACTGATATGGTCACTGCTTGCATCACAAGCGGGGATGTTTCTGGCGGGGGAGAAAGAAACAATTGCGCAGCGCGTCCCGCGGCGTTGCGCGGGCAGTTTGGGGCCGTATAAATACGGGCGCACAACGATAATTTATGTTCAAGCCTGTCTCCTCTAAGATAGGAGTAGGGACATTTGACTCTGCCTGGTATGGGGAAGAGCCGCTGCTGAGAGGGACAGAGAGGGATGAGAGGGGGTGGAGAGGGAAATATCTGAGTGGGGAAGTTGAGTGGGAGAAGCCAAGGTATCCACGACCACCCTACCCTCAGGTCAACCTCTTGACCCTGACAAATGGGCGACAGGGGGGGGGGAAGAGGAGAGGAGACGAATGACGGCCAAGGGGAGGGGAGAAGGAAGGAGGGGACAGGGAGAAGGAAAGGAGGGGAGAAGGAGAGGGAAAAGAGGGGAGAAGGGAGAACCAATGATCTGAGCCCCAGATCATTACACTTTGCCTCAAGACGAAGCTTGGGCTGATCTCTAATTTGCTACTTGGGTGGAAAGGGAGGGATTAAAACTGGAAAGGGTGTAATCTTTTTTTTTTTTTTTTTTTTTTTTATAATTTTTTTTTATAAATTTTTATAGTAGTAGGAAACGACACAGATCGAAGCCGTTTTGCTTTTTCCGACGGCTTCGATTTGAGTCGTGTGTTTTTCGTTGCCCCGGTAAGATTAAACGGCTTCGATTTGAGTCGTGTGTTTTTCGTTATCCCGCTAACCCACGCACAGGCATAGCCAATGGTCAATGACGTCACCAGCAAGCCGCGCAGCGTTCCTGCACAGTAAATAAACGATAAAAATATAGAGAGAGTTAATATATATAAATATTTAGGCATATATGTTGGATATACCCATGAGAGTTTGGAAGCTGAGATGAACAGACTGTTGGGTCAATGTCGGAAGAGATTACAACCTCTGAAGGCTTTGGCATGCTGTGGAAAGGGAGTGGGAGTCTCTGTGCTACGAATGTTATACTTGAGTACTGTAAGATCTCTTATTGATTATGCTGCACCCGTCATTTCTTGTTTTGGTAAAGGTAGGATGGGCAAGTTGGAGAAGGTACAAAATGAAGCAATGAGAAGTCTCGAAGAAGAGAAGCAATGAGAAGTCGAAGTCTTGCAGTCTCGAAGCAATGAGAAGTCGAAGTCTTGCAGTCTCCGTGGTGTAGTGGTAAGACACTCGCCTGGCGTTCCGCGAGCGCTATGTCATGGGTTCGTATCCTGGCCGGGGAGGATTTACTGGGCGCAATTCCTTAACTGTAGCCTCTGTTTAACGCAACAGTAAAATGTGTACTTGGATGAAAAAACGATTCTTCGCGGCAGGGGATCGTATTCCAGGGACCATAGGATTAAGGACTTGCCCGAAACGCTACGCGTACTAGTGGCTGTACAAGAATGTAACAACTCTTGTATATATCTCAAAAAAAAAAAAAAAAAAAAAAAAAAAAAAAAAAAAAAAAAGAGAGTATATATGAATAAATTATATTATAATGTTATAAAGTATGATGTTATTACAGAGTGTGTTGCTGTGCCCAAGAGAAAATTTACACCACCATGGGAGGATTGTAATGTAGATGTAGTAATTACTCCCTTGCATAAGAAAAAAAGTATGTATGAAATAGGAGAGCTGAGGGCAACATAGGATTGTATAATTAGAAAACTGCCTACGGAAAACACTCTACATGTATATTGTGATGGGTCAGTAGCTAGGGATGGGAAGGCAGGATGTGGAGTCTTGATCAGGGAGTACACTGACATCGGCACTGTAGATACTGTTATTGGACGCCGCTTAACTGACAATGTCTCTTCAACGCAGGCTGAACTCCAAGGTGTATTAGCAGGATTACAGGAAGTAGTCAAATGTGGTAAAAATGCCTGCTTCTTTATTGACAGCAGAGGAGCGTTAGAGTCTTTAAATAGCAGACGCCCAGTATATCAGAATATTGTGATAGAGTGTAGAGAGAATGTTAAGAGACTAGAAAAAACTGGGTATAAAGTAAGATTCATGTGGATCCCTTCACATGTGGAAATACTGTTGAATGAGGTAGTTGATGACATAGTGAAGAGAGCCACTGAAAAAACTCTTGTTGATGTTGTATGTCAGTTAACCTTGAAACAAATAAAAACAAGACTCAACTTGATTCAGGAGGGTGAAGAAATGATAAAGAGAATGGCAATGGTGGACAGTAGTAACACACTTAAGAATTATTCAATAATAAATACAAATTCGTCCTTCACTTATGGTAAAGGAAAGTCTACTTGGAAGGATTCAATTTACATGAGATTACGATTAGGATATAAATATATCTGGCAATACGGTGTTGATGTCAGTGAAAAAGATAAGGAGTGTAAATTATGTAGTATGCCGTACGCCCACACCTTAGAACATTATGTATTAGTGTCACCTTATTGAAAAATATAAAAATAAGGAAATAAATAGTGTACCACATCAAATTGTTTGGATGTGTGATAATGGTATAATAGACAGTATACTTAGGAGCTACAAGAATTTTGCCCCAAGAATGTAACAATTATATGCTGTACTTGCTGTATGCAATGTTAAATGGGATTCTTGTACTGTTATATGTCTATTTGTACTCACTGAATTTGTGCGCCCCTTGAGGGACTTGAAGTAGAGGGGGGTAGAAATGGCCTAAACTACTCTATCCCTTTGAGATGTATTTATTGCTTATCTCAATAAACATACTTGAACTTGAACTTGGGTGTAATCTCCCACGGTGCAGGAAAGTGCCGTTGTTGTTTCTCTTGGTACAAATCATGAACCTGATACATTCTGAGTTGAGTTCCAGGTTTTGTTATCCATTTGGAACAATGCTGATCTTCAATAAAAAAATTCTGGAGGGCTTCTGTGCAAGGGTTAGGATGAGTTAGCCTAAGCATTTTTATACCAATTTGACAGTTAATTTCAATAACGCGATCAACAACGCTCGGAATATTAAGTATCTTTGTGGTACGAGGGCACCCAAGGATTATCCTCAAGGCTTCGTTCTGCAATTTTTCAATCCCTCCAAGCTTTCTTTCAGGCATTAAAGCAAGCAGAGGTGCAGCATAATCCACTAAAGATCTGATGTATGCAAGGTACATCATGTTGACAATTCTGACATTGGCACCATAGCCTGAGTGATAACCTGCAACAGCCTTGAGAGCTCGGAGCCTCTCTTTATACTGACGACAGAGTCTGAATACAACAGGACCATACAGTGGCACCTCAAGGCCAAGGTATTTGAATCTGTTTACATAGCCAAGCTGGGAGCCATCAGACAGTTGCATCTTGCGAACAGCTCCTCCCTGCCTGGGTGGGCGCCGATTTAGTATCTTTCTGCTGCTGTTTTCTCTGCTGAGATAATTAAACCTAGCTCCTGACATGAGTCTAATACAGAGTTAAGAGTGTTCTGCGTGTTAGCATACCCAGTGGAGTGTATCATTATATCATCAGCATAGCTAATGATGTGGACGTTGAGTTTGCTCGGTATAGAGTTTAACAGCTTGTTTATTAAGATATTAAATAAGGTAGGACTGAGGACACCACCCTGCGGGGTACCTAGTTCAAAGTCTCTTGTTACACTCCTATGCCCCTGGAAAAATACAGATGACTTCCTGTTGGATAAGTAACCCCTGATCCAAGAAAGAAGCCAACCACCAATATTCATTTTTTTTTTTTTTTTTTGAGATATATACAAAAGTTATTACATTCTTGTACAGCCACTAGTACGCGTAGCGTTTCGGGCAAGTCCTTAATCCTATGGTCCCTGGAATACGATCCCCTGCCGCGAAGAATCGTTTTTTCATCCAAGTACACATTTTACTGTTGCGTTAAACAGAGGCTACAGTTAAGGAATTGCGCAAATTGTTAAGGAATTGAGCATTCTTGCAAGCTCACTCAAGATAACATGTCTATTTGCAATATCAAAGGCATCATTTCATTTATTATTATTATTATTATTATTATTATTATTATTATTATTATTATTATTATTATTATTATTATTATTATTATTATTATTATTATTATTATTATTATTATTATTATTATTATTATTATTATTATTATTATTATTATTATTATTATTATTATAGAAAAAGGGAAAGCGTGATATAAAATCCTTTGAACTTGCAAGAAGCGACGTCTCAGAGGCCGCGGTGCATGATGGGATATTCACAACACAAACACCATTCGGTACTTGTTTACTGTGGGCTGCTACCTTCCACTGATTTTTCTCAATTGATTCTTGCTTACAGACACGGTGCCATGGGTAGACGAAGTATAAATACCACCAAGAGTGGTAAATACATGAATCCAACAGATCAGGCCCGTAAGTAAAGTATACAAAATATATACTGTTATGTCAAATAGAGCGAGAGTAAGTAATACTGTATTTGTAATACTATGCTTTCTGTAGTAGTTTATTATTTTTAATTAAACTGAGAGCTGTAGGCTATCCAGGTTACGGTCATTTCCTCTAACTTCCATCTTCCGCCTTACCTAAGGTAAACAAGTTAACTTAACCTAGCAAAGGTGAATGGAAAGCAAAGGCTTGTTCCACATACTGCAACTGTTTACTGTTGGTTTTTGTATACTAATAACTGCACCATACAGTTTAAATTTTGTGTATTGATGAGCCATTTGTACACCTTCATCATACTGTTAGTTTAATCTCTGAGCCTGTATTTAATGTATTCATATTTCTTAGATTAGATAAATGTTCTAGGTTCACATCTTTATATATGATGTGATATATATCTCATCACATGATATATTTTACACACCAGTGGTGTGTAAAATAGCCACAGCCACAGCCTTCAGTATATGAAATGTCTGAACAGTTACACAAATGTAGAACAGTTTTCTTTGTGAAAGTACAATACCTGTCTCTCCGAGATACCCAATCTATCAAGATTTAGAAAATGGAGTTTAGATCTAGGTCTATATGGTCTTTGATCAGTGATCAGAGCCAACATTTTTTTTTGTTTACAATAATTTCTTTAGGATTAATGCATACTATTAGATTAGTCAGGCTTGTGCAAGGCCAGATTTGGTTTCAAGTTAGGAAGGGGTTAAGTTGCTGATCTCTTGACAGTTTTTGTACATCAACACACACAAAACTATAGCACTTACAGCAATGCATAAAATTAAACCATACATATGGCAGAAACTTTCAATATTCTCTCAAAACAATATCGAAATATGAACTGTATCTAATAGAAACCTGTTAGAATAAATATTGTATTATGATAAATTTGTATGATTCAGTGCATAGTTCCTATGAAAATCATAAGGTAATTTTTTTATTTTAAATTTAGTTGGTTATATTTGCTTTAATTTAATTTTAAATTTGCAGTGGCCTGTAACCATCTATATAAAATCAAAATCAAAATATTTATTCAGGTAAAAGTACATATAGAAGATGAGCTACAAACATAATGATGGATTTATAGATAGCACTAGTACATACAATACCTAAAGCCACTAATACGCACAGCGTTTCGGGCAAGGTGTGGGGAAAAAAGCACTTGGACTAAAGCTTAATACTAATTGAGATTAAAGTATAAATTCTGTAGAAAATGGAAAAAAAGGGGGGAGGAGACATGGCAGAAATCAGCAATTATACAACTTGGTCAACAAACAGTATTGTTTGAAAATAGTAAGACATGGGTTGACATTTACGAAGGTAGGTAGGTTACATGGAGTTTATTAAGTACAACTTAGTTTTCCTCTTAAACTGGTAGAGAGATTTTTGACAATGATTGGGAAGGTCATTTCACATTCTGGGTCCCCTTGATTTGTAGAGCATTTCTAATTTGGTTAAGGTGCACTTTTGGAATATCAAATAGGCATTTGTTTCTGTGTGGTGCCCATGAGTTCTGTTACAACCTTCTAGGAAGCTTTTAAGGTCAGGATTGACATTACAGTTCAGAGTTTTAAATATATAGAGTACACATGAGAGGATGTGCAGTGACTTAATGTCTAACATATTAAAGGATTTAAGTAAGGGGGGGTACTGGGTATATGTCTTGCAACATCAGTTCGCTCAAGTTATTTATTGCAAATTGTATACAGTTGTCAAAAATTATTGCAGTTACCAGCACAACTTGTTAATTTTTAAAATTATGGAACCTTTACAGTGGTAATTCATGCCACTCAAATTCCATGAATTACTGCATGCATGGCTCTAGATTGTATTGGAAAACTTATTGCTAAAATAGGACTTGGTAACAGCAATGAGATATAAAAAAATGAATTCAAGCTAAGAAAGAATATAGCAATTCTGAAGAACAGTTCTGAAGTTCCCTAAATCATTAGGGATCACAAATGATGTGATCCCTAGTGATTTGTAATGCAGACCAGTCAAAGTACTGTACTGTAGGATACATCAACTGTGTTACCCTTATCGTCAATCATCATAAAAGGGCTGAGGAAATTCATTAAAAACAGCCTGCCTGTTGCACCACCAAAGAATTCTCTGCTTCCGCAGGTTGGCTGTTAGATAAGCAGTCAAAGGTCATAAGGATTTTTAGTGAGAATGAGGAGCCATGAGGAGAATTCAAACCCACACACTTGGTATTCCCAAGTCCATGCCCTAGACCAGGCATGTCAAACTGAAGATCCCCCAAGGGCCATATGGGTCACATTTGTGTTATTATTAGGGCCACACACCACAACACGAGGGCCACTCACCACAACATGAGGGGCCACACACACATGACAACTAATTGAAGTCATATAAAAATTGTTGCAGAATATTTTTATTACTTAAACTTAGAAACATACAGTGTGCACACAAATGGTTTAGTGGCTAGCCACGTGCATGAATGAAAAGTAATGAAGTAGTTTAACAAAAAAAAAAAAAAATTAAACGGCAACATAGACTTCTTTGCAACAGCAACAAATACATTGTACAAAAATTACAACAGTTCAAAATGAACATTATTTACGACAATTCAATAATTTTTAGTGTTTTGTTCTGAGGCTTGACACCTCTTTTTAATGACAATTTTTGCTGTCTGACTGAAATGTCTGTGCAATTCCCACTTTTATCAGAAATGACAAGTGTTGATCAGTCAGCCTTGTTCTCTGACAAGTTTTTGTTGATTTCATGAAGGTAAATAACTGTTCACACACACATAGGTAAAACCAGACATTGCCATAATCCATGTGGTAAACTTTCTGAAGTTTTTAAACTTCAGAAAATTAAGTTTTTAAGGTATGAAAAGAAACCAGGTATCCCAACTTCAAGATACAGTACTTTGCTCTGAGTGTAGAATCCGACTGCATTTCTAATAGTTCTATCTGCAGGCTTTCTTCTGCCTTGGTAACATCAAATGTGAATGGTGTTGAGAATAATGGAAAGTTATATTTAAAAGATGAGAAATCATAATATCTTTCTTGAAATGCCTTTGACAACAATTCCAGGTGACTGTCATACTTACTTAGCAAAGCTAAATACAGACTCAGTATTGGCAGTGTTTTTTAGCTTTTTGCACTTAAGGAAATGAGTCTTAGTTTTGTAATGATGCACTTGATGTCATCATACAACTGAGTGATGAGTTTGTTTTTACCTTGTAATTTCAAATTAAGTTTAGTTAATTGTGTAGTAATGTCCATAGCAAAAGCCAGATCCTGGAGCCAGCTTTCATCTTTTATTTCCTCTGTGTTTTGACCTTTCATCTCCAAAAACATAATTATTTCTTGTCTCAACACAAAATCTTTTCAGCACTTTGTGACATGACAGCCAGCGGACTTCTGTGTAGAATGGTACATCGGTAAACTGATTATCCATATTACCTCTGATATAGTTCACTGTCTTTGTGACTGAACTAAGTACATGATCCAATTTTAAAATCTTTAAACACAAATTTTGCTAATTAATAATGAAGTGAAAATATGCAAATGATGAATCTGGATGCGAGTTTTCTATTTTTATTCGTAACTTGGCAGCAACACCATTATGACTGCTAACCATATTTGCAGCACCGTCGGTAGATAAGCATACAAGTTTACTCAAATCCAAGCCTGCTTAATCAAATCAAATCAAGCATGAAGAACTGCTTGAACTGATCCCCATGCATGACACTACAGCAACCCAGGAAATCTTTGAGAAAGTCGAGCAGGTTCTGCATGACTTCTTACGAACAAGTCATGCAGAACCTGCTCGACTTTCTCAAAGATTTCCTGGGTTGCTGTAGTGTCATGCATGGGGATCAGTTCAAGCAGTTCTTCATAAATATTAAATTCAATGTCACTGGCCCTGATGAAGACCGCAAACTGTGCTATTCCAGTGATGTCAACAGTCTCATCAATAGCAATAGAAAATTGTTCAAATCTTGATGATGCGGCCTTCAACTGTTTCAAATCACCTGACATTTCATGAATCCGTTCAGCAACAGTGTTCCTGGTTTATGAAATATCTTTGAATAAATGTGCTTTCTCTGGACACACAATTTGAGTCGTTTTTACAAGGCATTGCTTTACAAAATCTTCACTGTAAGATTTCCCACTCATGGCTATCATTCGGCCGAGTTCATAGTTTGCAGTAACAAAAGCGACATTCCCTTTCTCAATTTTCGTAAAACAGGTCTGTTGCTGTCTCAAGTTAGTCTTCAGTTCCTTCCCGCCAAACACACACCGAAACTACAACGTTGGTATAACGTTCAAACTAGTTTTAACACCTCCTAACCAGTTATAACAACCAATATAGCAAGTTGTAACAACATTCTAATACGTTATAAACACATTAAGCCAAGATGTAACAACTTTATTACAAGTTGCAACAAGCAAAAAATAGAGACAGTTTCGGTTTGTGTTTCCAGGGTTGAGTCTTGAGACACGCATTGGGCCTTCATATTTATTGTAAGATTCATGATTCGTTTTGTAATGTCTTTTCAAGCTGTATTCTTTTTGCGTGGCAATGCTGTTGTTGCATATTAACCCTTAAACTGCGCATGGTGTACTGTATATGTATAATCGACAGGGAACGATGGTACCATAAGTTAAAATTTTCTAACTTGTTCTAACGCTTTCAACTTATTTTGTGCATAATCTACTAGGCAAACACTCCAACTTTGTCTAAATGATCATCAATGTAATTTGAAAAACTAGGAAATTAAAAAAAATTATAAAATTTAATATTGAAAATTTCAGATTTTCAGATCAGCTGCAAAAATATTAAATATCACCAATTGTTCATTAACCCTTAAACTGCGCAACACGTTATGTGACGGGTTGGAGTACTACGCAAGATTTAAACGGCCCGCAGACACATGGGGTTCACCTCACCTTCATCAGGGCTCTTGTAAACAGACACCATTAAAAAAA